CCACATATCCCCCATTGCTGGTGAGTCCATTCTCCCTTCCAACACAGGGTGACCTGTAGGAGAGAGTGGAACTGGCTCTCCAAGGCTGTAATCTTTGGGGAGCAGGTGGCCACCTATTTCTCCTTTGGAGCGTCTGGTAGCCTCAAATCACCCAGCTTCCCATTAACAGCCAAGTGCTTAAAGTACTACACAGGTGAGACCCAGGACTCCTTCAAATACCCTAACGATGAGCAATGCTCTGAGAGTGATGACCATCCAAAGACATGGAGACAATGAGCCCAGCAGACTCAGGGGCCATTCGGACATCAGTCTCCACAAGCCTGAGACCAGCAAGCGCTAGATGGTGCCCGGCTACCGTGACCAACTGCTCCGAAACGATTCCCACCAGGAGACCCTGGAGAGAGCGGGAGAGCAATATGAACCAGAACTCAACCTCGGAAGAGGCTGACTGGTCAGATGGAGACAGGTGGGAACCCCAAGACCATGGCCCTCCATCACCCTTCAGCCTGGGAACTGAACACAATTCCGTGTTAGAATAATCAATGGGTTGAGATCCAAAGGCGGTGCCGATCCAAGGTGCTGATCCAAAGAACGGAGGGTGGGAAACGGAGGCAGGAGACGCAGGGAGGAAGTGGGATGGGGAACGGCCCACGGAGGGCATGGCCCCGGATGAGTTGAAGCAAAACATTGTGAGACCCATTGGCCGTAAAGCCGACGGCCTGCTCTGAAAACCTTCCCCTCGCCCACAGTCCCACAGCAAAGACACAAAGAAGTGGCCACTGTGCCACACAACCAGGGGCTCCCGGCGTGTTAACCCTTCGTGTGCTCGGCCTCCACCTCAGAGTTCAGAAGTACCTCAGAAGAAAGGCCTGGCTGCTCTTCTGAAACAACAGTGGTCGAAAACACTGTGGGAACACAGTGCTGCTGTGACATACCCCGGGCTGCCATGTGTCCCCGCGGACTGGATGGCAACTTTAAATAGATGTCGTTGTCGTTGCGGGTTCCGACGCACAGCGGCCCCGTGCACAGCAGAAGGAAACACCGCCCGGCCCGGCCCCGTCTTCACCACCGTTCCTGTGCTGAGCCTGTGGTTCAGCCACAGTGTCCGTCCATCTCGCTGAGAACCTTCCTCGTTTTCACTGCCCCTCCACTTCACCAAGCACGACGCCCTTCTCCAGGGCCTGGTCTCTCCTGACAAGGCGCCCAAAGTCTGTAAGGGGCAGTCTCGTCGTCCTTGCCTCGAACGAGCACTCTGGTCATTACTTCTTCCAAGACACATTGATTGTCCTTTTAGCTGTCTATGGTACGTCCCAATATTCTTCTCTAGTACAACAACTCAATATGTATATGATTTTTATATATAGTTTATTATAACATACTGATATATTTATACCTTATCCCATAGCATGCTCTATTTATATGTTAACTAGGGAGCTCTGATGGCATGGTGGCTCAGCTGCTAGCTTCAAGGTCATCCGTTTGAACCCACCGGTCACTTTTGAGGGAGAGAGTCCAGGCTTTCGACTCTGGTCCAGAGTTACCATCTCAGGGGCAGTTCTACCCAGTCCCACAGGGTTGCTGTGAGTTGGAATCAGGTCGATGGCAGGGAGGGTTTTTTGTTGTTGTTTTGCTTTGCTTTTATAGGAAATACACACAACCACCTGTTGCTGAGAGTCTACTTCGTAGGGAGAGCCAGGCGCAGTCTTCCACGGGTGGTTCGGTTACCTGACTCTAGCTCAGGTACAGGAAGCACGCGGAAGCCAGGACTGGAAGGCAGGATACCAAAGACCAGGGGGGAGGGGAGGGGAGTAGTGGGTGGCGGTTGGGCCGCAGGGGCACCAAAGGCTCTTTCTTCTGGCCCTGCCACCTCCAGTTCCTGGGTCTGCGAGGGGGCCCCATGGGGCAGACCTGCTCAGAACGCCGCACACTTCCTAGGTTGTAGTTACCCGTTGATTCTGCTGTCCTCAAGGTCCGCAGTTTGAAGCCACCAGCCGCTCCTCTGGAGAAAGACAGGAGGGCTTTCTACAATGTCTTTCCTCTCGAGGATGAGCTGGAGGGTTCGAACCGTGAACCTTGCACTCAGCAGGCAACGCTTCATCACTGCGCACCAGGACGCCTTGAGTTCGGGTGTCATCGATCGTAATGACCAATGTGGTGTGTGTGTGTGTGTGTATGTGTGTGTGCATTTTGAACCATTGGAAACCTGTCCCAGCCTGCCAGGTCCCCCCACCCCCCACTCCCAGATCTGCAGGCCTAGAACGGACCCCTCCCACTCCCCTCTCTGGCAGCTGGTAGGAGCCACAGGCAGCCAGACAAGCACCCAGTAGGGCGCAGCACTAATTGGCTCCCACCTGGGGACGACATAGAGCCCATAGAGCAGCTATATTCAAGGGGTCGGCGGAGGGAGACCCAAAAGGGGGCAGCTAAAGGTGGGGGGCTTCAGGCCATGATGGCTTTATTCCATAAACAGTGAGATGGAGCCACCGCTCAGAGCCGCCTTGGATGGACCCGATTCACAGACACCAAAACTGAGGTCCACAGAGGTTAGGGGGCGCCGAGCCAGGAGCTGCGGGCCCCGTCCCTGCGACCACCTTAGCTTTCTCAACTGCCTGCTGCGTTTTGGGCTCCAATCGCTGACAGCCCCGCCCCCGAACCATTCCCCCCGCCCCGCCCCAGGAAGCCTTCCAATCACACTCTTCCTCTGGCCTGCCTCCAGGCCAGCCCCGCCCCTCGCCTCTTCTGATTGGTTCTGCCTTTGGACAGCCACACCCGCTCTGGCCCCGCCTCCGCCAGTGGCTGTTCTGTCCCTCTGGCCATTTCGCCCCACTGGTGGCACTGTCGGGCTGCTAACCACAAGGTCAGTAGTTCGAACCCACCAGCTGCTCCACGGGAGAAAGTCGAGGTTTCCTACTCCCATAAAGAGTCGGCCTCGGAAACCCACAGGGGGCAGTCCCACCTGTCCCAGAGGTTCACTGTGCGTGGGAATTGACTAGATGGCAGTTAGTTTGGGTTTCTGGTTTCGTAAGGAGCCTATGTAGCGCACTCAGTAAGAGTCCGATTGTTCATTCACAAGGTCCTCGGTTCAAACCCAGCAGCTGCTCTTCAAGAGAAAGATGAGTCTGTCCGCTCCTGCAATGACCGACAGACTCAGAAGGCCTACACAAAAGGTGTTGGAGTTGGAGTTAGTGGCAGGAGTTGTGTTGGGCTGCTAACGGTTAGCAGCTAACCACAAGATCAGCAGTTCGAAACCACCAGCCCTTCTGGGGAGAAAGAGGAAGCTTTGTACACCCATAAAGAGTTTCCGTCTCAGAAACTCACAGGGGCAGTCCTACCTTGTCCGACAGGGTTGTTATGATTCAGAATAGTCAGTGAGTTTGGGTTATCGTTATTTTTTGGCTCTGAGGAGGGAAACAGAGGCTCAGAGAGGGGCAGCTCCCGTCTGAGGTAGCACAGCAAGGCCAGGGCAGAACCTTAGCTCCCAGTTCTAATGTCAGGACCTCACCTGGTTTCTCAGAGCTGCTCGTGCCTCCCCATCCCCACTCCACCCCCACCTCACCCACCTTCCTCAGGACCCCTCTGCTAGAATCAGACATGGGCTTCATCGAACACTGCCCGCCGGTGTAGCCCACAAGGTGGAGTGGGGGTGGGAGGGAGCTTTATAGTCCTGCCTGTCCCATAATTTAATTGTGGGGACATTTTCTACAACATAGATTTGCCATTTCACCTGTTTTTGAGGGGACAATTCCAAACCCAAACCATGCTCCCTGCTACTGAGTGGATGCTGACGCACAGTGACCCTACACGACAGGGTGAAATCGCCTCTGTGAGGTTCTGAGACGGTCACGCTTTATGGGAGTAGAAAGCCTCATCTCTCTCCTCCCCCACACCCCCAGGACTGGCTGGTGGTTTCGAACAGCTGACCTTCCAGTTAGCAGCCAAAACGGTAACCAACTGGGGCCGGAGAAGAATACCATTCAGTGATGCTAACGGCCCAACCACCCACACTATCATTTCATAGCATTTTTCATTCCCTGCAAACACAAACTCAGCCCTCCCTCAGTACCCACCCTCTTTCCCCTTCCCCAGCCCAACATGTCCTTGGGGGCCGTGGACCCCATGGGCCAGACTGGGGCTGTGTCCTGTGTCCAAGACTGTCTGTGGGTGGCCCAATCCTGGAGAGCGGAGCTGCTAACCACAAGGTCAGGGTTCCACCCCGCCGACAGCTCTGTGGGGGAGAAAGCCCAGGCCGCCTGCTTCCATAAAGCCTGGCCACACCGGGCACCCTCGGGGGCAGCTCTGCCCTGTCCCACAGGGCGGCAAGGGGTGCGTCAAAATCGACTGCACCCGTCGGTTCGATCGTCACAGGAACGGGTTAGCGGTCTTTCTCCCTCAGAGCTACTGAGTGGACTTGACCCGCCAACCTTTCCTTGTTCACAGTGGAGGGCTTTAACGGTGGCACCACCAGGGAGCCTCTCCCCCCTCCCCCCAATCAAACCCATTGCCACTGAGTCAGTTCTAACTTGTCACAACAGCCCTAGAGGACAGGGCAAGACCACCCCTGTGGATTCCGGGGACTGCGAGGCTTTAAGGGAGCAGAAGGCCTCTTCTGTCTCCCTTAGAGCACCTGGTGGTTTTGAACTGCCGGCCTTGTGGCTAGCAGCCCAACAGCTGACACCCATGCCACCAGGGCTTTCTGAGGCAGTCGGTCTTTGCGGGAGCAGCCAGCCTCAGCCTTGCTCCCTTGAAGCTGCCTGGTGGGTTTGAACAGCTGACCTTGTGGCCGGTAACCCAACATGCACGCATCAGGCGCTATCCCTCTCATTGGCTGTTTCTAGGCATTGGGAGGAAGGTGGGTCAGACCTTCACCTTGTGTCTGTGCCCTGGTTTCTGGCTCCTCCTGCCTGGTCGGGCACTTGCTCTCTGAGTCAGCGGCCCCGCCTCTCACGCCCCCTCTCGCCCCCACAGGCTGTGCCTTCCTCACCTACTGTGCCAGGGACTCTGCGATCAAGGCCCAGACCGCGCTGCATGAGCAGAAGACCTTGCCTGGGGTGAGTCTGGTGGGGGGTGGGGGTGGGGGGATGCTGCATGTGGGGAGGGCATCCAGGGGCAGCCTGGCCACTTCCTGGGACCAGCATAGAGACCCTGTGCCCTGGACCCAGACACAGAGCCCTGGGTCGGCCAATGCTAGCTCAAAGGCTGGTGGTTTGAACCCACTCCGGGGCTCTGAGGGAAAGAGCAAGTGACCCACTGCCAGGCAACGCTGGTGGCTCAGTGCTGTCGGCAGCCATGGAAGGCCCGGTCCCGTGGGGCCTCACGGCTGCTCCTATGCCTGAGCCCATGTGTCCGTCCACCTCGTCGAGGGCTGCCCTCTTCCTTGCCGCCCCTCTACTTGACCAAACATGATGACCTTCTCCAGACTGGCCCCTCCTGTGAACATGCTCTCAGCCCGTGGGACCGAGTCTCCCACCCTTGCCTCTAAGGAGCATCCCGGCTGTACTTCGTCCAGGGGGGCTGGTTTCCTCTGCCGGCCATCCCTGGTACTTTCAGGATTCTTCCCCGGCATCATCACTCCAATCCGTTCTCCTAGGCTCTTCTGGATTTAAGGCCTCAGGATGAGCAGGAGGGGGGGGGGGGGGGGGGATGTGGGGGGGGGATGGGAAATGTCGTGGGGTTGGGGTCAGGCGCACCTGAGTCTCCCGGAGCCACAGCGAGGTTGTGGGTTCTGCATGGGGCTGCAAGCCGCAGGGCCAGCCCGTCAAAGCCAGCACGCGCTGCCTGGGGGAAGAGGTGCAGAGTGGTTAAGAGACAGGCTGTTGCCTTCAAGGTCAGCGGTTCAGAACCACCAGCTGCTCGCGGGAAAAGCACAGAGCTCTCTACTCCCATAAAGAGTGACCCTCTCGGAAACCCACAGGGGCTATTCGAACTGGTCAGGCAGGGTCGCTGTGAGTCGGCACCGGCTCCGTGGTGGTGAGCGAGTGAGAAAGATGTCCGCGTGGCAGGTCCGCCCCGTGCAGTGCACAGGCCCCGTTTGCTCCCCTGGTACTGCCCCATGCATCCCTTGTGAGCCAAAGGAAGCGTGGACAATGTCCATGCTCCCCGCTGTTGGTCACGATGGCACGTCAGTCCAGTTGTGAGAGGGCTTCCTTCCTTGGCCTTGAGTCATGGGCTTGGATCGTCCATCCTGTTTGCTTTCCCCAAGCCAGCTTGCGTCCCCTGCTTGTGGAAGGCCAACCGGGAGCCTTCCCCTGCGCCTGGTACTGCCTCTCCTTCACGCAGTTTCAGCATCTCAGGCGACCTGCTCTGACCTGTAAGGGGACCACCACACAGGACGCTCTACGGAGCAATTGTGTTCTGTCACGTGGAGTCACCGCGGGTCCAAACGGACACAGCAGAGTCGAACACCAACCACCGGACCTCAGATGAGGTGTCAGGAGCTAGAGCACAGAAACCATCATCCAAACGCGTGGTCCTTGCGTGTCCACTGCTCACCATGAGGTCAGCAGTTCAAACCCACCAGCCGCTCCGAGGAAGACAGAGACGTTTTACTCCTGTAAAGAGTGACAGTCTCAGAGACTCACGGGGGCAGTTCTACCCTGTCCTAGAGGGTCCAGATGAGTCAGCCTGGACCCGACGGCCGTGAACTTGGTTTTTTGCTGCCCGCTGTGTCCTGTGGGCCCCGCCGGAGCAGCTGTGTGTGGTGGTGTGGGTTGTAAACTGTGCAAGCACCAAGCCGGGCTGGTGGGGGCTGGAGACCTGAGCAGGCGGGGGCATGACCAGACCTTCCTGGGAGGGGGCCGGCCCCTGAAAAGACCCTGAGTAGGACCTGGTGAGTTGGAGGAACAGAGAGAAAGTCCATGGGGTGGGGGTGGGTGGGGATGGAAGGGGAGCAGGAGGAGGAGGGGAGGAAGGAAGGAAGGAAAGGGACAGGGCTCCGTGAGGCTGTGGGGAGGAGCCTCGTCCCGTTGTTATTGTCTGGAGCCATGGATTCTGTTCCAGCCGGTAGTGACCCTGCACACAACACAAGGAACCACCGCCCAGTCCAGCGCCCCTCAGCACGGTCCCCCTGTTTGGGCCCATGGAGGCAGCCACGGTGCCCCTCCGTCTGCCGAGGGCCTACCCTTCTCACCAGCCCTCCGCTTGAACCGAGCACGACGCCGGTCTCCAGGGACCGTCTCTCCTGGGGACGCGTCCACAGTACGGAGTCTCGCCGCCCTTGCCTCCCAGGAGCGCTCTGGCCATCCTTCTGCCCAGACGGCCCGGTTGGTCCTTGAAGCAGGCAGTCGGTGCTACTTTCAATAGATTCCAGTCGCCTAGGCCAAGGCCCTGCCTACTTCTCGACGTAAAAAAGCAAAGGATCCAGGCCTTGGCTGTTCACTGAACATTGCCGGTTCAAGCCCAGCACCAACCCTTCCAGAGAAAGACCTTGTGGTCTGCTTCCATCAAGGTGCTGCCCGGGAGGCGCTAGGGGCTAGTTTTGCCCTGTCCCTCGGCGTCGCTACGAGCCAGGACAGACTCAGTGGGCTCTTAAACACAGACATGAAAAGGCCATGCATGGGGGGATGGGGGGAGTGGGTGGGAGCAGACAAGGCCCCGCCCCGGGATTCAGCGGCTGTGTGTGTGTGTGTGTGTGTGTGTGTCTCCAGGGAGACTCGCCCCCCGGCAGGCTGTCTGCTCCCTCCCCTAGAGGCAACACTCTGGGAAACCCTATGGGGAAGTTCGGCTCTGTCTTGCAGGGTGGTCGGGAGCCAGCATTGACTGGGCGACAGTGGGTTGGGTTTCTCTGGGGTTCATGTAGGACGGAAGAGACCACCTCCCAGTCCATCCTCATATTCTCTCTGCTGGAGCCCACCGGTGCAGCCACTGTGTCCAACCCCCCCTCCCGCCCCGCCCCCCAACGCCTCCACCTTTGCTGGGTCATGCAGCTCCATGGCTCCAGCCTCCGCCGCTTCTTTAGCTGTCCCTGCACCTGAGAGTCCACCTGTGTCTGCCTTAAATGCCTGTCATCAGATGCGGAGCTCACCCCAGACCCCGATGACCTCCCGCCAAGACCCTAGCCTTAGTGACCCCTGTCATGATGGGCGGGAGAAGGAGTGACAGTCTTGGAATCCCACAGGGGCCTTCTG